TATATTTTTATACATTTTTATACATTTACACATTTATATGCGCCGTTCCGTATCTGTTCATGTATCGTCGCCTAATAATTTTAACTAATTAAATGTTTTTTAACCTACTGACTCTTCTTTCGCCGTTTATTTGGTTGTTTATTTACGTTTACATTTAAGAGTCTTTACATCGTTATTATTTATTATTATAAAATAAAATTATCTAAATGACCAGATGTAAAATGTTTAGAAAAGATTCCCCTTCTCTTACAAGCCTGTAAATAATCAACAAATGAACAATAACTCTTTTATTTGTTATCTATTATTTTTGTTAAAATTTTGAAGTACTATTATATTTTATCTATTCTTCTGGTTCATACAGCTTTTAGAGTACCGAGTACACGCGACCACATTTATTGTACATCTCGACTACTAACACTGCGAAAACGGCTTTTACTACGAATTCGCAATTACGTTCCACGCAGCATGGTAATTTGGTATATGCCGGTCGTATGCAAAAAATATTCTCTCCGTTCTACACATCCTATGTGTTCGAAAACTTTCTACGACCTTTCTGGCTTTCGTAACTTTCGCGATTGTATGCTCTGTTACAGTAACACAAATTCTGTTTGATTTCATTACCTGAATTTTCGCATGAGATAGGAATGATATCTATATATTATATAAAAATTTAATATTCTAATCAATTAATCACTTATTTTGAGTATTAAAAGTAGGTACTGTTAATTGAATAAGAATTATATATATATTTTTCTAGTTTTAAGAATAAATTACAAATCAATCAAATTGTCAATAAATAGCAGTATTGTTAACAATACTTTTAATACCCAAAATTAGTGCTTAATTGGCCACTACTAGTTAGATATTAAATATATCTAGTGGGAAACGATGTTACATTGTATCTTGATATTGTGTTTTATTACTCACCGTAATAAAAAAAGTAAAAAAATCTCTTTAAATCTGGATAAAATGCAAGAAAACAAATCGATCAATCACAAATACGATCACATTTAGATCCGCTCTCGCCGGATCTAGAACTCGTCTCCTGATTTGTAGAGACCTGACAAAATGTTTTACGATCTGTTGATGAATCTTTAAATTCTTCTTACAACACACGATGGCGCATCCTATGCCCTCACAATGTGAATATTCTCCGTTAGATTCCTGATAAGTTTCGTACAGGACCTACTTTTGTACGTAACTTACGAGGAACAAACGAGGAACAATGTTTCTTATCATTAAATTATTTCTTTAAGATATCTACAAATATTCCCGTATATTGATCATTTTGTTGTTGGTATTTCCGATAAATCTCCTCGGCTTCACCATATGGCTGCTCGTCCATCGAATCTGTAACGTGGAAAAAATAGCACTTGTCAGATATCTATGTCGTAATATCTATTATTGTATTCACCCATATTGAGCTGGAATTCTTACTGTCGCCAATCAAGTTCTATTTACTTCAATTTATGTGCTAATTTGTTGCTCTATTTTCCAATCTTATCACATCATTTAATCGCGTTCTAAATGGGTGGAACCCAGTTTACTGCTCTTTCAACTAAAAAGAGGTATACAATAATTTATTCGAAAAATTAAGTACGCCAGATCTTTTATTTTATTCCTCTAATTTAACAATAACATAATTCCGAATATCATAGCATTTCGACACTCTGATTTAAGTTGTTCTTGAATCAGAAATCTTGAGAATATAACATCAAATCTGTATACAACCGATTTTGTACTAAATGTAAATTGATTGATGACTGTAAAAAAGATCCCATATGGGTTATTATATTAATTCATATATTATACTTCAACTTTTATGAAAATTGAAATATTAATATAACAAAGCAATAAACATATAGGAAGTTTAGATATTTATGTAAAAACTAGAGAGTGATGCAACTTCATTCAGATCGTTCACGTAAATAGAATCACACAAATCTAAAAACGTCGCAAATAAATTATTCTGGAACTGGACTGAGCATTCTCAGTATAATTTATTTCACGGTGGTGCCTACACAAAATACTACTTTTCTTTGTCACGGTACGTATCTTTTCTCTTATTTTATATTGTTACGCTATTCCGCTATTCGTATTTTATATTGTTACAGATATTATTTTATTTCTTTACATATTCGTATGTGAAGAATTGACCTCTCAAGGTTCTAAACAGGCTTCTAAAAAGCTTTATATGTGCCAATATCTTTTCCTATTTATTTTTTTACGTCACTGAATTTATATTATGGTGTCTGAGTTTGCCAGCTGTGTTGTGCTCTCTTCTCGTCTGCTTTAATTAATTTATATTCTTACGTGCAGTCTGCCCATCGAAATAATATAATTTAGAGCAGATCCTGTTAAATAGAAAAATAAATAATTCTTTTTGTCATCAACGAAAATAAAATAAAGCGCACACGCCGATATTCTATCTTAATTCTCCTAATTATCCTTAATTTCTAATACCACCAGAGGTGACGTGATCCGTTTAAGAGCCCGCGGCAAGTCTCTCTCGTCTCATGATTAATTTATGTAGTTTCTTACGGCGCTTAAAGCCCTGTAGCGCGATCAATAAGGAACGAGCAGGCGATGCAGCTGTAGCAGGTACGTGCAACACCGTACGTTATATATAGCGGTCGATTTATACCGTAATAGTAGCGACTCTTTTGTCGGATTTAATTCTTTCTACGGAATCGCTTTGACACAATCACGATAATGAGACCAGAAAGGTACGCGCATGTCGAGTCCCCTTATACTCCTTCGTGAGTCACACGCGATCGATTGCCACAAAACGCGTGCACTTAATCATTGGAAAAAGAGAGAGAGTCATCGTTCCGTTAGGTGGCAATTGCGATACGTAATCGTGATACGTAAGGGAGGAAAAACCATTAGCCGCGCTTGATCCGCTTTGTAGAAAAAAAAGCAACGCGATCCTGTGGATCCAAATCGCTATGAACGGCGAATCGCTTTTGAAAACGAACGATAATGTGCCGGGCGCGATCGGAATAATGGCGATCATGTGGAGAACGATTGCGCGTAATTGGATAATGTACAGTTAACGAAATTAGGAATATTCCGTGCGAAACGATACTCACACTCATCGGGCACGGGCTATGTTTCCACGCTAACGAATAATACCTTTAACGGCCTTTCGAGCCGACGAGAGCGATATCCATCCGCTGGTAAATTTAACTGAAAGAAGAAAAGTTCGTACTACGATTAATGAAAGAAGATGCATAAACGTTATGACGACAGATA